AAAAAGATGGTGTTGTTTCTTTTAAGTGAAGCAAGAGAGAGAGGGAGAGAGAGAGAAAAAGGTGTGAAGAGAGGAGTCATTTTCAAGAGCATCCCACAGAGGCTCTCCTTTGAAGTGTTGTGACACCTCTTTAACTTGTAACTAGCTAGGAAGTGAAAAAATAAAAATAAAGATGGGAAGATTAAAAAAAAGGAAAACCCAAATAAAAAATGAATAAAGAAAGGGTAAAGAGAGTTGAAAAGGGAGCCAAATTTAGGTGGTGATGATGATGAGTAAATATAATTTAGAAGAGGGAGTGTGGGTAGTACAAGAAGAGGCAGCAGAGACAGTGATGAAATCACAGAGATCTTTTATCTCTTTTCTGACCAAACACTGCCACCCTCACCACTGCCATCATCAACCTCTCCTATACTAATACCTCCAACCCAATTCCTTCCTCTTCCTATATTTACTCTCTCTCTCTCTCTCTCTCTCTCTCTCCCTCTCCAAGATATGAACAAAATATGATTAAGTTTCTGGAAGGAGACTCTTCTTGAACTTGAACAGCTGTTATTGTTTTTGGGTTTTAATTTTTTTTTTTGTGGGAGAGAGGGGAGGGTGGGGGGGTGGGGAGGGGGGAGGGGGTGTGTCAAGTCAGGTGGGTGTCATCAATATCACTAGTTTGGTTTGGTTGGTGCATAAAAAAGAGGCACAATTACCAAAAGGTGAGAGAGATTGGAGAAGGAAAAGAAATGGGTTAGGCTGCAATTAGGATACTGGTCTGGTTTTTTGCCTTCTGGGTTAAATTTTCTCAGTTTTTTAGGGTTTATTTTTTTTTTTTGGTTGGGTGGTGTTATTGTTAGGGTTTGTTTGATATGGAATTGGAAACATTGAATGGAAGAGGCTTTTGGGAGAGGCAGCAGGAGGAGAAGTATTATCAGGTTTCATCACTGTGGTGGGAGCTGGACAACAACAACAACCAACAAGAGGAGAACACCATTAGCAAGCTGCAAAAGGAAGATAGCGAACAACAACCCACAACCCAATACTAAGTCTCCTCCATTAAAAGCTGGAACAGGAATATATCAAGGTCCTGACTCTGGATCCTCAAAGGAATCACTACCCTCATCATCATCATCTTCAACAACATCATCAACAGCAAAGACAGCAAGAAGAAGAGGAAGAAGAAGAGGAGGAAGAAGAAGAGGAGGAGGAGGAGGAAGAAGAAAAAGAATCCCAGAGAAAACATCTCCTTGTTCAACACCAACAGCAGCCTCAAAGCTTCTCCTCCTCGCATCATTACCAGTACATTCTGAACACAACCCAGGCTCCTCAAAACCAACTTTTATATGGAGGAGAAGAGTTAGATATTCCTCCTCAACCTCCCAAGAAACGCTCTTATCGCCCCTCTATTTCTCCTTCTTCAACCTCTTTCGCCCAACAAGCAACCCAATATGCGAGAAAAATGGAAAACAGCCACCATCAAGCAGCAACATCGTCGAGACTGGGGTTAAGAAACGCCGGCGGCGAGATTGTGGAGGTCCAAGGAGGCCACATTGTACGCTCCACCGGAAGAAAGGACCGCCACAGCAAGGTCTGCACGGCAAAGGGTCCACGCGACCGCCGAGTTCGTCTCTCCGCTCACACCGCCATTCAGTTTTACGACGTTCAAGATCGTCTCGGCTATGACAGACCTAGTAAGGCTGTTGATTGGCTCATCAAGAAAGCTAAAGCCGCCATTGACAAGCTCGCGGAGCTTCCTCCCTGGAACCCAGAAACCTTAAACATTACCACCAACACCACCACCGCAACCAAGGCGCCCAACACCAGTAAGAACCATCAAGAGCAACCAAGGATCGATGACAGGGAGTATCAGTTCCAACTCCACCATGGTGGCACTACTGCTATGATGGATAACGTTGCTGCTTCTGCAGCTTCTGGTGGGAGTTCTGGCGGGAGTAGCGGGAGGAGGACGACGCCATTGATGGGTAACGAAGTTCAGAACCTCCAACATCAACAACAAACGCAAATGAGCGAGAACCCAGATACCGGTTCCAGTTTTCTGCCACCATCTCTGGATTCTGATGCCATTGCGGATACAATCAAATCCTTTTTCCCAATGGGCGCATCAACAGAGCCACCATCTTCGTCCATACAGTTTCAGAGTTACCCACCAGATTTGTTGTCGAGAACAAGTAGCCAGAGCCAAGATCTGCGGCTTTCATTGCAATCGTTTCAAGAGCCGATGCTTCTGCAACACCAAGCTCAAACTCAGGCTCATCACAGTGAACCAGTCCTATTCCCAGGAAC